CAGAATGTAAATCAGGGCTTCGTAGCCTCCTGGAGAATTGTTTTAGGACTTATTTATTGAGGTGCTGATTTATAGCTTATAAACACAGGTGCATTCAACCTCTTTTTTTATTATTTTCTTTTTCTTTCCAAGGTTGCACATAGGGAAAGGGGTGCAGCTGGAGTGCAAAGGAGAAGGTGACGTGTGGGTTCGATGCCTCAGTGACCACGCGGTCTTCGTTCAGAGCTACTACCTGGACAGAGAAGCAGGGCGTGCGCCAGGGGATGCTGTTCACAAGATTTACCCAAGTGCATACATAAAGGTTGGTTTGGATGCTCCACGAGGAAAACTGGGGGGGTGGGGGGTGGGGAAGCAGCGTGCTTTCTGTTCTTGCACATCGTAGGGAAGCTGTGAAGCACTGAAATAAATCAAATGTGGAATCAGAGACTTCGTTATCATCTTAGAATCGCCAACTTCACTTAAAAAGTCATCGTTAGGGGAAAAAATCCATTTGACAAGTCACTTTAGAGTCATTTAAAAAGTCATCTTGATGGAAAGTATCCTCCAGATACCGTCAAAGTAACTAATTTTGTATTTTGTCAAGCAATCTCCATCTTCTAAATTAACTGCTGCCAAAAATGTAGCATATTCTCGAAAAATGGGTAAAGCCTGACAAAGTGAAGCTGGACTTGCTGGCATCTCATTTTATTTGCGTGCCTATTTTCCGGAAATCCCAGAATTTAATAAAAATCGGGATTTCATCAGCCTGCGACTGACGAATTTATTCCGGAGAGCAGAGAGCTCCAGTTTGTTGGAGGTGGGAGCTGAGGACTCCACTCCTTCGCTGATTTTGGTAAACCTACAGAGTTTGATATTTATTTTTTTTATTTTTTTAAAGGTGTTTGATTTACGCCAGTGTCATCGTCAGATGCAGCAGCAGGCTGCCACTGCTCAAGCCGCCGCTGCTGCTCAAGCTGCAGCAGTAGCAGGAAACATCCCCGGCCCAGGATCAGTAGGTGGAATAGCCCCAGCCATTAGTAAGTAAATTAACTTCTTGCTCTGCTTTTTTATTCTTTTTTGAAAAAACCTCAGCTTTTAGCAAGACTTAAAATTTGTAAGGTTCTTGAGAAGAGGAGGAGGTTGTAATGGTGCTTTTTGAGTTTTCTGAGTTGCTAAATTCTATTTCCGTGATACTACATTTAAATATTTTTTAAATGGTGAGTACTGAGGTGTGTCAGGCTGCTTTATGGGCCACTTCTGGATTCCTTGTGCTGCCAAACGGAGCTTTCCAGCTACGTTCCAAAATCCTGAAGGCATTTTGGGGAAAATATATAAATTTTCTTCCAGACGTGGTTGTGATTTGAAGCTTGCCAGCTGTGTTCAGCTTGTTATTAGACGGAGTAACAACTGACACTCTTAGATCCAACTCCTTTTGTATTTTAACACCCTTTCAAGATGACAGAACGATGAGAAAGAAAACTTATTGGGAAGAAAGGCAAAATAATTGCTGAGCTGTGGTGATAGAGACCTAGAAATACCGATGGGCCTTGGCTGTGGTGAGAGGGACGGGTACGTGGAGAAGCAAGAAAGCAAACAGGAATGGCTAAACAAACAAGTGATAAAAAAAAAAAGCGTGTCTGCAAACATTTAATTGAAACACTTACTTGAAATTCCTCTCTAGGTTTGTCAGCTGCTGCTGGAATCGGCGTAGATGACCTCCGCCGCTTGTGCATACTCAGGATGAGTTTTGTAAAAGGTTGGGGACCTGATTACCCGAGACAGAGCATCAAAGAGACACCGTGCTGGATTGAAATTCACTTGCACCGTGCCCTCCAGCTTCTAGACGAAGTACTTCATACCATGCCTATCGCCGACCCACAACCTTTAGACTGAGATTCCCTCTGCTGCACTGCTGTGGGCCGTTATGTTGTGAGGCTGGTGGATTGTAAAATACAACTCTTGTTTATAACCTGAAGATATATTTTACTTTTTGTTCTGCTTAATCTTCGAAAAACCGGGTTTTAAAAATGTGTTTGCCGCCTTGCTCTTAGCAGAAAGAACCTGAACATGCAGAATTTGGATTTCAGTTATGTTTCAGAACTTAATTGTCATGATACGTGGCTCAGGGCTTGAAGTGAAAGGGAAACGCCTTACAGAGAGACCTTACAGTATTGGGGTTGTGCCCTTTGAAACTTTTCCTTCTCTATCACGGCCTCTTGGGTGAGAAGCCTCACAGGAGCCTTTTGTATGCAGAATATATATTATATATATATTTATATCTGAAAATTCCTTCTAAGAATTATTTACGTGACAGCAACTAAATTCCAGCTGATTTGGGATGTTCTTTTTAGGGAACAAGAGTTACCGGAAGACTTTTTCTTTATTTTGTCGCCTATCTCGGTATGATTTTTCCAGATTAAAAGGTAGAAGCTGCCAAAAAAAAAAAAAAGAAAGCAAAAAAAAAGTGAGGGATGAGACGTGCATTGATTAAAAATAGCAAGGAAAAGAAACGTCGCTTTTCCTTCACTAGTTTTTAAAAAAGAGATCTTAGATTTTTATTTCTATGGACACGTGAGTTTTAAAACACTAAAAGAAACGGATGCTCTCAGTGCTGGCACTCAGCTCAAATATCACGAAATACCCTTTCTGCGAAGGCGCCACGGAAATTGCGGAACGAGAACCTGATGGCAGGAACACATTTTCATAACTACCGCTGATTTTACTCGCGTGCCACTTGGCAGGTCTTTTAAACGCCACAAAAGCAAAGTTTGCGCGACTCTTTTTACTCGCATCCGCCATTCGATCACGTGCGAAATGACATCGATCGTTTAGGATCCAGTTTTTGTATCCGTTCACCATTTCCACTCAGGGCAAGATGGCAAACCTGTTTTTATACCTCTCGGTTCTTTTAAGCCCTCTGCCATCAACGACCGTATCAATTGGCAATGACTTTGTATAGAGAATTTATAGTAGAAAACAAACAAAAAAAAATGCAAATGTATTGACTGTATGACAGATACAATATGTATGCTTTCTCTCTAGTTAATAGTATAAATAAAACTATGAAAACCCTGAGTTTTTATAAATCCAGTTGGCTTTTTTTATGTAATTCTGCACCTTGGAACCGTTGAAGGATGGATTGACTTTTCCTTCGCCAGCCCAGCAGCAGCAGGAATTTGTGGGGGTTGACGTCTGCCAGGAAGCGAGTCCAATTTTTCTTCCTTCCCCTGCTTCTCCCTACAGGAGGATTTCTCTTTCTTGGGGCTGTGACACGCAGCGTTGAGGTGTTGCTGCCCCCACGTGCTGAAATTCTTGGGAAAGGAGTCGGCAGTCGGTGGTTCTGCTCCACAAACACAGCACAGAGGACAGATGACACCAGAGCGATGCCCAGAACTGGATGAATTTTCTCAGTATGAACACTTCTTCACACTAATTCCTACAGAAATCCCATTTTCTTCTCCTCTCTCTGGCTTCTTGATGTTTGGAAAAATCAGCGTTCGCTTTCCTCGAAGCCTTAAATTGAAAACCTTTTTCATTTTCCCTTCTCTCCTAACGATCTCGTTTGTCAGCGCAGCTGCAGCTTTTCAGGAACGCCTGAATCAGAGGATTCTGACTGCATCCTTAGAGAAATTTCTAACTAACCAGGGAAAATACGTAGCAGGGTTACGCTTCCCAACAGGAAACTTGCTTCGGTGGACGACGACGGTATTTGGATGGCCAGGAGCATCAGAGGAGTTCATCAGAATCAAGAAATCGCGCTCCACACCAGAAGAAATCCAAACATCGTGTCAGGCAGTTGAAATATTCTTTTTTTTTTTAAATATTCCTTTTTTTTCTCTTTGTTTCTTACGACAAGGCGTAAAAGCCAGCGCCGAACGGCTTGCAAAAACCCTCCGGCAGCACCTCGAGTCTCTGCCAGTTCTGCGTTTGTGGCTTTTTTAGGGCTTCACAAACGGGGGCTTCTTTCTTTTGGGGCTTTCTGGTGAGCTTTGGTAGCGCTGCCGAGGTGGAACGGAGCTGGATTGAGAGCCACCAAGCACCCACAACCCAAAACTCACCGTAAAAGGGGTTTTTTTTGGGGCAGGAAAGCCTGGTTCCACGTTTATCCTTTCAGCCATTGCCTTTTGATAAGCGGTCAACCGAATTCCCAGTAGTTCCTTTGTAGCTTTCCTGTACGTTTGTTTTTTTTTTTTTCATTAGCCCTAGTTTGTGGATAATATCCTGTAGTTAACTCGGCGGAAATTCTGTACCAGAGTATGTTTTTGATTAAAAAAGGTAAAGATTCACACCTTTTGGCTTCTGTATTTTATTTTTATGGTTTTTATTTTATTCCCAGAGCGAGTGAGAGCAGCCCCGGGGCAGGCGTTTTGTGGGGAAACAGTGGGGTCACTGCGCTTTCAGCCCATCCTAGAAGCTCAGAATCATTAGGGTTGCTTCCAGTAGCCCTATTAATGGCATTTTTTGTTCCCCCAAATCAACCGAGAGGTTTCTTAAGGGACATCACTGCCCCTAGAGGTTGCTCTGGATGAGGCTGAGGCTCCTGAACACTAAAAAGGGAAAAGGAGGGGCAGAGGGGCTGGTTTTGGGTTCACCGATGCAGGAGGTGAGGCCGACAATCACAAAACCTCCCCTTCCTCACCCCCAAATCCCAAAGCCAGGACCCCGAAGACATCACCAGGCGCCAGGTAATGGAAACAAGTCTTTATTAAGTAACTTTTAATATCAGAAAAATAAAACTCTTATAATTCTCTTTACAGCAAATATATAATATCAGTGCTTTGGCCATCATAAGTTAAAGGCCCTTTTATCATAAAATATATGTTTTTTTTTTTTTAAACTTTACTCAAATTGAATTCATAATCCCTATGAGACCTCCCTACATATACATAACAAAAAGTGTAGTAAAATTAGCAAATCCTAAACTAGCTCGAGAGTCGTTTTTTTTGTTTTTTAACCATTCTTAGTTCGTGGTTTATAAAGGGTACACGCACCTAACGTCTCGTCGATTCCTTGGCTTATTAGTTGCCGTGTACGATGCGCTAAAATACAAAATAACATGCTGGGTGAAGGCCGGTTCGTTATCTACACGCCTGCAGCTAGAGCTTCGGGTTCAATACTGACGTGGAGCTAGAGCCCTACAAGCAAAAGGAGCTTGGAAAAGTTCTGCGTCACGGTAATCGTGCCCTCAAGGCAACTCTCAGACTGAAAAAATCCCAAAATAAAAACCGTTATCTGTAAACTTTGATACGAAATGTAACTCTTCAAGTGGAAATAAAAAATAAAGTTTCTGTCTATTTACTAGTTCAATACACATAGAATTTCTTTTTTTTTTGTGTTGTTTTTCCTGTTATACTGAGAAAAAAGCTTTGTCTTGGGAAAATAATGCTTCAAAAAAAAAAAAAATAGAAAAATCCACCGGAACTCCCCTTTGTGTCCTTTTTTTTTTTTTTTGTATTTTTTTTTTGTAGTTTTAATAGATGCCAGCACAGATTTGGGAACGTACTGAGGATGAAAAAAAAGCGAGGAACATCCACAGGTTGAAATGTACGAAGCGCGCTCCGGAGGCGTTTCGCCCGGTGATTGGAAAGACGGGTTTGAAATGAAGTCAACTGATTGCAGGGCCACTGTCACGAGTAACACGAGGGCACGTACGCACCCCCCTTATTTTTTTTTTCCTTTCCGTTACTAAAAATAAAATATATCTTTACGTATGTGCAAGACAAATACGGATCCAACATAAAAAGGCTTCACATTTTGAAGCTACGCACTCTAAACAATTTAAGAACAGCTTGATCGGACTAACGAACGGAATGTCAGCATCCTCACTCTTCAAAGTGTGTGCGTCCCAAAGCCCTTACTGAAATGGGACGAAGCCAGCCAGAACTCTTCCACTTGACATTAAGAAAAAGCAGTGGGGTGGAATTCCCGATCGAGGCGATACGTTCCTGATCCTCTGACCACCTTGGGCGAAAGACGGGAGGTGCAGCGGGCAGCTTCTCCTTCCCTCCCCGCTCACCGTTAGCAGTAATTCACCTGATCCTGCTGAAAACCTGAAATCCTTCTCAAGAAATCCATCTAAAAAAAAAAAAAATCCATTTAAAAAAAAAAAAAAAAAAAAGCATTTGCAATGCTGAAGAGAATTAGGCGTAAGTCGTTGCATCAGGCGCAAAAAAAAAGGAAAAAAAAAAAAGATTTCCCCAAACCTGTTTTTTTTTTTTTTGTTTTCAAAACTGGCAGTGTAAAGAAGGCAGCATTGGAAGTGTTGTTTTGATATCTTGGTAATGCCACAAAGCCTCCGCGCAGCGGGCTTCTGTGCTCGGGCTCTGAGGTTCGTCGCTGCCAGCGCACACAAGTCCCAACGCTCGACCGAGAGCCGTCGGAAAGCCTGGAAAAATTGGTGTTGCGGTTGTGTCGGCGCTCCAAACTTCCCCTCGCCGTGCCGTGTCGCACCAGGTGCGTCTCTGCTAAGCGTGCCGAGACCACCGAGGTTTAGTGTTACCGTAGCAGCCTTTTAGGAACGGATATTTATGACCAAACTTTAGCCTAATCCCAAGAAAGCCCAACAGTCAGAATGACTTAGGAGGTTTACTAGAGGGTACCGTTACACCCATGCCTTTAGATGTCCATATATAATAATAATAATTAATAATAATAATAATAATATCATCATCTCTAGATACTTAAGAGTGGATTTGGATTGCCTGAGTAACAGCTGTCTGGCAAACGGGACACGAGGGCGTTTCCTTCTCGCAGATCTTGTTGGCACACTCCATGCAGAAGAGGTTGTGGCCGCAGGGGACCAGGGCGGCCACCACTTCGCTCTCGAAGCAGATGACGCAGTCGTGCTTGCGCCTCGACTCCGGGGGCGAGCTGGAGGTGGAGCCCCCGTTGGAAGAGGAGTAGCTGTTGGTACCGTTGGAAAAAGCCGGGATGTAGACGGGAAGAGCGGCGCCGGGGGGATCGCTCCTCGCCCTCCTCGCCAAGGGGTGCTCCAAGCTTTCCGCCAAAGTGGGCGACAGGCGAGGGGTGGAGGGCTGGCTCCCGCGGCGCTGAGGCTTGGCGTTCCCCGTGGGGTCGTTGGCAAAGCCGGCGAGGGGGTTGACGGGTTCGAAAGGGCTCCAAATGGTTTGGGACGGCGGCGGGAAGGAGTCGTAGGCGGGGGAGTCGGCCCCGAGCTCTTCGGCGCCCACGGAAGGCAGCGTTTCTCCGAACCAAAAGTTGCCCGTGCTGAAGGGACTGGTGGGGCTGAAGTCAGCCAATCTATTGCTTCCGAAATAGGAATCGGTGGAGCCGCTTCCCAAAGAGCTGGAGCTGTCGTTCCTGTAATTGGAGATCATCCTGGCGCGGCTGGGGGGGACGGGGTTGGAAGCGAGCCAGGCGGACCCCAAGGCGCCTCCCTCGAAGCTGACGTCGGTCCCGTTGTAGTGGAAATCGTTCTCCTCGTTCAGCTCGATGTAGTTGCCCGTGCGCATGGCGATGTGCATCTCGATCTCCTCGCGCGCCCGGTCCACGTTCTCCGGCATCCCCGTCACTTCGAAGACGGGTTCCTTGTCCCGGCTGGGGGTGACGATGTAGGTGTGGGTCTGCTGCTGGATCCTTTTGATGGTAGCTCCTTTCGGGCCCACCACCAGCCCGACTACGCGATAAGGCACCCTGACCTGGACCGTGGTCTGCCCGGGAAGGTTTGGGGTACAGGGCAAACCTCCCAAAGCAGGGCCGTTCTTGTTCCGCGACGCTCTGATCATGGAGAAGTGCTCGGCGGCCGAGAGGATTTCCCTTTTGGCCATGGCTACGTCCTCTTTCCGCCCGGTGACGACGAAGATGGGTTCTTCGCCGCGAACGGGGGTCTTGATGTACGTGTTCGTCTTGGCCCTCAGCGCTTTGATTTTGCAACCTGTTGGGAGGAAACACACGCCAAGTTCAGCGGGGCGGCCGAGTTTAGAAAGCCACAAGAAAGCCAACCTATTTTCAGTCTCGAAAAACCAGCGGGTGAAACCAGAAGCGGCGTTTTTCCCCTCTCTGCAAGCCGCACCGGTGAAAGCAGCAACGACTTCTACCCGGTATTTCCAAGCGCACCTCCGACGCCGAAAGCCACGAACTTATTTTAGCAACTTTTGGGCTGTTTGAGCCTGTCATCTGCTATCAGAGACTGAATAAATAAACTTGGTTGGCTTTTTCTGCAACAGACAACTCATGAATATCCCAGAAACGCTGTTGAATTTATATTTTTCCCCATTTATTGGCTATCCCCGAGTTATTTCTAAAATGCTAAAATTCTAAAATACGGACTAAACACTCACAAAAACGCCTAACCCTCCTGATACACCAGCATTTCTCTTACAAGCATGCCCTAAAAACAAATTAAGTATTTACAAGCGAGAGAAGGCTCCGTATCACAGCCCGTGGAGGACATAAAGTCATCGATTCACTGCCATTTCTTCACCTGCTCCCCATTATCCCCATGATTTCAACCCCACTTTGCAGACCGAGTGTTTTATGCATCATTTCGTTGGCCACCTGATTTTTTTCCCCTCTTTTCCTCACTTTACACATCTCAGAGACGCACAAAACGCTCTCGGGTCGGCGTTTTATCAGGGTCTTCTATTGAGACGAGCATCTTTTTATGAACACCAGGAGCATCTCATGGAATAGATCTATGTAAAATAAATGCAATTCTTCACTCTAAAACACAATTCAGAGCCTGCTTCATTCCAGTTTCCCAAGTCCACGCTCCACAGCAGGTTTTCCCGGTGCTTTAGGAACCGCAGCCCGGTTTCGGATAAAGCTAAAGGTGTAAAAGCAGAAAGACCTCAAGGAAAGTGCCACGTCTGAAAGCCGAGATCCCCGAGCTCGGTTTCGTTTCGCGAGGAGCGGCGGCGGCGGCGAAAACCTCACAAAGGGCTACTGTAAAGCCTGGCACGAAAACCACAGCTTCCCAACGCTTCTGAGATTCCCGGCTGATGCGCTCGGATGTCTTGGACACGTGGGCTGAGCATTTTTCACCCGTTTTCCCCGCCTCCTGCCTCCCCTCCTTAACTCACGGCTGCAATCCGAGAAGCAAAGACCCCACGGCAGAAGAGCAGCAGTAGAAAAGAGGGAACGCGTCTAAAATAACTGTAGGAAAAGTTGTTTTGCTTAACAGGATGGATGTGGGGGCAAGTTTTGGGAACACGACATGCCCGAGGATGCAGGATATTAAAAGGGATCACACTCAACATCCCATTCAGCAACCAACCAAAGTTTTTACAGCAACTTCCCAAAAAGAAAAAAAAAAAAAAAGCCTTCAGAGTGGCTTTCAACAAATAGCTTACACTTTCAGGCTTCAGAACGAGCCATTAAAAAAGACACAACCCCAAAAATCTTCCCTCTAACTGCTTCGTTAGCTTTCAATCCTGCCACGGGACACCTAGGTGCTGTACTCAGGATGAGCTTTAGGATTGTTTCAGCACTGTTTCCACTCCCCAAGAGCGGCAGCTGGTCGTATTTGGCCGTTGAGCTACGTTACTGATAAGCTACCTGCTTATCAGTATTTTTTTTCCCTGTTTGTTTCAATTTACACGACTATTTTAAGCAAAGGAATGATTTTCTCTCTCAAGAGCCCACGTTCAAAAGCAGAGAGAGGGCGAAAGGGGAGCCCGGGATCATTAAATATCCATAATCAGGTTATTTTTGTTGTGAGGCCGTCTCACACACAGCAGATTTGTCATTATCGATTTAATCAGCGAAACGGGATGATATCATCCCTCCTCCTCTTACTCAGCCGGGCTTTTGGAGACCGCCCTGCCTGCTTCAGGATCCGCAGCCATCGTTTGGGCTGTTCTTACAGAGGCATCAGGCTTTGGAGGGAAACAGCAATCAAGCTGGAGCTGTCTCGGGGAGAAAAAAAGAACAGCACGGTCAGTTTTATCAAGGATAGGTGCAGTTGGAGAAGTTTTAGGATTTAAATACGCCTTCAGAGCACCAAAAGCTCCGGTTCTGCCTAACCAAAACCTTCTCGAGGCTACCAGGCTACGGCAGAACTGCCACAGAGAAAGGGAAAAGTCACCATCAGTGAGTTTAAGTGCAAAAAAATGCGTTCAGGTGACTCCTGGCAGACTTTCACGTGATTTAGAGATCCGAACGAGCGCTCCTCAGCTGGATCTCCAGAGCTCTTTGCAGCTCGGATGCAGGCTGATGTCATTTTGGGCACACACCCTACCCCGGCTTTCTGCAGGCAAACAAGGTCACCTCATCAAGAGATGCAACTTGCTCGCTCCCGGTTCTCCAGGGTGCTTTTTTCCAACTTTCTGACTTTTTAAAGCAAGGCAACTTGTTGTACACCACATTTTCAGCTGCTAAAAGGAAAGGAAAATCACTTTTCTGAGCAGCACGGGGTCCGGTCGCTTCGCTGAAGGCTGGATTCAACAGCAAGCTCGAATCCACACAGGACGCCTGTGCAATGCCACGCTTGGAATCTAGTTTTCCTGGCTCCCAGTCGCATGCCTAAACAAGAATAAAAGGATACAAGGATCTCTCTCCCTTTGCTGCTCACCTCTGGAGGCTCTGAAGTGGAAAAAAGTCCAGGAGTTACGTTACGCTACCCCAACGAGGCCTGATACACTCATTTTTGGGGGGACAAAGCGAGTAAATACAGGTTGAGAACACTTGAGATTAAAAAAAAAACGATAAAAAAACACAAATCCAGGTACTACAGTATTTTGTTTTCCTTTTTAAAGCAGGAACGCCTCCTGTTTGTCAAAAGAAAACCTTCCACGAGTCTTTTTCACAGCTTCCAGTAGCTGTACGTTGAATTACTGCCCCCATAAAACAGCAACCTCCGGTGTAGCTCGGGGTGCACACGAAAACCTTAAACCCCAGCTTACATTTCAGGCGCTCAGCACCTTCTCCAGCCTGCGAGCAGCTCCCCAGTGCAGATTTGGTGAGCAGAGCCCCCCACGTGGGCATCTGCCATCCTGTTACCTACAGCGGGGGCTGCGGGAGCACCACTTGGCCGCCCGGAGGGCTGGATTTGCTTCTGAAACTCACACCTCGCCGCAAGGTGCTGCTTGGGTACAGAGCTCTCAAGAACTGGGGGCTTCTCTGGGCTGATAAACACCACCTGGAAGTTTTCCTCCTCTGCCTAAAAATTAAATTTTGGTTAAAATAGCGTGAAACTGCCAATTAATCGTTATTCTGCCACTTAAGGGGGGCAGTACTTAGAATAAATTCGTTCTCAGACAAGGCAGGAAAGCCCAGATCAAACTCAGCACTCCTGATTTTTCAAGGGCTGAGGATATTTCGAGTTCTTTTTGTACCTCACGAAGATGGCCACGGAAAGACCACAAAAATTTATCTTTGTGAAAATGCAGCATCTTCTCTTCTCTTTGAGAGGGAGCAGAACAACCGGTGAAGGATGCAACTCCCAACAAGGCTTGCCCCAGGCACACCAAGTCACGCTGCAGCCAAAAATCTCCTTGAGCAAAGCTTTCATGCAAATACATTCGGTGAAATTTTCTTACACCCAGCTCTCCTCCTTCTACCCCTTCCTCTTTCGCAGCCCGAATTCTTCTGCGGTACAATCCCTCTCCACCGAGGCTAAATATTGTATCACGAGCCAGACAGCGTGACATCAGATGAGAAAGAAAAGCAGAAGCAGCAAATGAACTCTTCAGGAACAATCCTCTTTTTATGCAAACTTCATTATCTTGTTTTTAAGGGACTCCGAGTGCTGAGGAACACACTACAGAACGATCCCAATCCAGCGGAGAACAAACAACACATCCTAAAAGGTCCACGAAGCCCAATTTTCCCCTATTTCATCGCAAAGGACTGAAGCAGTCCCTGGTTTTCGGTTCCGTTTTCCAGCTCTCCTCCTGCCCCCCGTCCCCAATGACACACAAGCAAGGCCCTAAATCATTCGAGCATTATTTCGTGGAAAAATGTCTTGTACTTCTGCATTTAAGGGAAAAGAAAAGCCACCCGGCTGCCAGACTAGCCTGCACATGTCGACGTACCGGAGGGACATGCCACTTACTGTTTTAACAACGGATAAATATTTTCCACCTCGGTGCCAGGAATGGGTACCTGACCCCATACACGCCAGTTCCTACAGCACAGGCTTTGGGTTTTTGAAACACCCAGCAGAAAACCCACCTTTGATGAAGAATACCTAAAGCCGAATAAATTTAGGACGAGGAAACAAGTGCCTGAATCTCTCCGGTGCCACACTGATTTACTGATTTGACTGTTTCTGCTAAAGCCCCGCTGATGTAAGAGCCCAGACAGCCCAACATCTCATTATCTGCTCAGCAAGCCAGAAACACAACCCCCAAAAACCCAGACAGAAAAACACACAAAGGGAAAAGGAAGAGAGAAACTACCCGTCTGCCCTGCCACACCTACACTCGCCACTGCTCTGCGCTTCGCTTTGGGTACGAAAAGAGCTTTTAAAGCTCTTTTTTTCTAAGATTTGCTGCTGGAGAGTTGGTCTAACACAACCGTGGGGTCTCAGGGGAAGAGGAGGTGGGAGGCCACCGAGGGACGTCGCAGGGATGACCTTTTACGTAAAGGCACAACGGGGGCCCGCGAAATTTAGCAATCAACAGGAAACCAGAAGCAGACGTTTTTAGTCAGCGAGGGGTTGGTGGTGGCTCGTTTCCCCATCGCCGGGTCACCTCCTCGGCGTGCAGGGTGGAAACTTGAGGCAAGTTTTCAACCCTGCCCCAAACTTTGAGGCGATGCGGGCAGAGCGAGGGGGATGCTGCCACAGGCTGAGCCCCTGCGCCTGTAGGGTTTTGTGAAATACGGTGCCAAGCTCCTGAAGGGAAAGGCTTATTGAGGATGTTAAGGTGAAGAACAAAGCCCCAACGCCTGTTTGGGCTCTGTGTGAGGTTTTAGAGCTGGGAAATGCTTCAGAACTACCAGAAAACACTTCATAACTACCAGGAGGCTGAGCTGAGCTCGCTCCTGCCCCTTGATTTCGCACAGCCCAGAGCCTGCATCACTCCCCGGCCTCAGCGAGACATGGAGCTGTGAGAAAGGCACCCAGTAACCCCTTTCCCTCCAGTTCTTACACCAAAAAGGGATCATTATATACTAAAAAACCCCACCAAGCAGCCACCGACCCCTAACACCCCGGCGAGCTTTTTCAACACACAAACCCACCCCAAACCCCATATTAGGGCCCTGCAGCCCCAACCCATGCCAGCAGGGCTCTTCTACACCCCTTAATCCTTGGGGGTTTATCCTTTCTCCCTCAGCCACCGTGCTCGCCTCAGCGGTGAGGCGAACCCCCCCCCCCCGCCCCCTTTCCCCTCCCTCCCGGCCATTTTGCGCGTCCCCCGTCCCTCCCCTCCCGGGCTGTCCCCGCTCACCCTGGCGGCCCACGATCTCGGCCACATGCTCGGAGCTGGGCACGGGGACACACTCGGTGGTGTTGACGCTTTTTCGGCGGAGCAGCGCCGCCTGCTCGCCGTTTGTGGCGGCTGCTCCCCCCCCTCCTCCTCCTCCTCCTCCACCTCCTCCATCGTTGCTGTAGGCGGGGGGCAGCCCCGCCGCCATCATGCCCCGCGGCTCGCCCGCCCCGTACAGCGCCGCCGCCGCCGCCTCCTGGGCATCGAAAGCCGGCGACAGCAGCACCGAGCCCAGCCCCGGCAGCAGGGGAGGAGGAGGAGGAGGAAGAGGAGGCAGCGAGGGCGAGGAGGGCGGCAGCAGCGCAGCCGGCTCCTCCTCCTCCTCTTCTTCTTCCTCTTCTTCCTCCCCCTCCAGCTCCTCCTCCTCCTCGTCCAGCTCCAGATCCCCCTCCTCGGCTTCCTCCTCCTCTTCCTCCACCTCCTCCTCCTCCTCTTCCTCCTCCTCGGGGGGCTCCGGGGGTGCGGTGCCGTCCCCTTTCCTCCTCCTCCTCTCCCCCGGGGGCTGCCCGCGGTGGCGGAGCCCGAGCCCGGCGAGGCGATGGCGCAGGAGGGCGGCGGGCGGCTGCAGGAGCAGCAGCGGCGGCAGCAGGAGGCGAGGCGGCGGCTGCCCCTTGGAGGAGGAGGAGGAAGAAGAAGGGAGAGGAGGGGGAGAAGCCGCAGCCCCGCCGCCGCTCGGCATGGCCGGAGAGAAAGGAAAAAGAAAGGAGAAGAAGGAGGCGGCGAGCCCCCGGCCGAGCCTAGCGGCGCGGGGCCGCCATGCCGAGGAGGGCACGGAGCGGCCCTCGCTGTCTCAGCGCTGCTTTTGTCCCATGGCGGCGCTGGAGGAGGAGGAGGAGGAGGAAGAAGAGGAAGAGGAGGAGGAGGCGGTGCCGCCCCGCCCCGGCCCCGGCTCCCCCAGGCAGCTCTGGGCAGGGCTGGGGGTGGCTCCGGGGTCCCCCTCAGCTCCCCCCCGGTCCCCTCAGCAGGTCGCCCCTCCTCGCAGAGGAGCACAGGGAACGGCCTCGAGGTGTGTCAAAGGAGGTTGAAGTTGGAAATGAGGAGGTTTTTTAATTATTAGTGTTATTTTTTGGTGGGGTCTGGTGTGTAGATGTAGGAGAGATCGCAGCATCACCTCAGCTAGAAGAGACCTCCAAGATCAAGACTCCAACCTCTGACCAGAGTTCTAAACCATATCACTAAGTTCACAGAATCACAGAATTTCTAGGTTGGAAGAGACCTCAAGATCACCCAGTCCAACCTCTGACCTAACACTAACCAGTCCTCCACTAAACCATATCTCTAAACTCTACATCTAAACGTCTTTTAAAGACCTCCAGGGATGATGGTGACTCCACCGCTTCCCTGGGCAGCCCATCCCAGTGCCTCACAACCCTCTCAGTAAAGAAATTCTTCCTAATATCCAACCTAAACCTCCCCTGGCGCAATTTTAGCCCATTTCCCCTAATTTTTCATGGGAGAATAGCCCATGGAGGTGTCTCAGAAGGCAACACTTATCCCAAACTCAGGTTACCACAGCAATTTTCAGCCCCTGGTCCCTCAGGGACTTCCAGAGGAGCTGTGGAGGAAAACGATGAAAAAAAAACACCACACACATGTTCTTAGTAGGTTTCAATTCACCTTCACTTCCAAAATGTGAGCCTTTGACGGATGCCATCCTTAGGTTTTGTTCTTTTGAGGTGGTCTTGACTGAGCTATCATTTGGGCCGTGCCACTCGGTACTGCGTAAATAAACGAAAAAATAAAAAGTGTTTTGTGGTGTTTCTTACAGTTTGTGGCAGTGCAGCGACAACGAGAGTGTGGGCAGGGTACGGGTGAAGTTACACCATCGCGGCATGGCTTATCTCAGCCCTCATCCCTATCCAAACACGGTGTTGTTAGCTCGTGCGGGGGAATTCATGCGATGCAATGCAGGGTGGAGCAGGAGGACACCCTACCAGGTGAATGAAACGACGAGTTTGCCTCGCTGGATGCTCCGAAGGGAGCTTTCATTTGGGATAGGTGTTCCTTAAGGATGTTATCCTGAGAAAAGGTCGTCGGGAAAAATCCCAGTCTGGTTAGAAGCTGGAGGAGATGTTGGTGTTGTTCACGGTGCTAGCAGAGGGGGACATCAGGGCAGGAGAAGAGGCTTCAGAGATGCAAAACTCTGTATTAAATGTGTAGCCATGAGATGTGAGAGACCCAGAAGATATTTAGGGGGATAGAAAGGCAGAGATCCACAGGAGAAAGCTCGATCTTCACACCATAGACGTGGGAAGGGGAGATGAACAGGGAAAGAGATTAACAGGATGGACCGAGGGGAAAGAGGACGGCTCTGGCGAGGGTGGAAAAGAGCAGAGCCAGCCGAGTGTGAGGTGGAAAGAGATGTTTGGAAAGAGACGAGGCCCAAACCCTCTCCTTTTGTACCCAGTTACAGGGCCAGCAAGCAAACTGGTTTCCTCCTGAGCGTGTACTGGGATTCTGCCTGGCAGGCAGGTGGTGTCTTGTGGCAAAGGAATCGCTGAGATAGCTCCATGTTCCTTTTGGTTTTGTGTCCCCACCGTGGGTTGATTTTTTTTTTTTTTTTTTTTTTTTTTATAAACAGCAGAGCCTTGATTTTTTATTTATTTTTTTAATCCTATTTATACACAAATTAATATCCGCTGATGAAGCGCGTGGATTATTAAGGCTGATTATTCGTCGTGGGTGTGATTTCTGTCACACGGGACAGCTTCCTTTCCGTGCTGGGCAGCTTTGCAGACTTTAAGGCGTTGTGAAATGTTTGAATGCGTGCAAATACAGATATTTCCATGAAAAAAATGTCCTTTTTTTTCCAGATAGATGCCCAAACACACGCGTTCCTTCAAGGGCTCGTGGAAAGGTGAACGAAGGAGGTGGTGGAGGTGATGTGAAGGGCCACGATGCCAAGAAATAGAGGAAGCAGCACAGCCTGGGACACCTCCATGGGGCAAAAACCCTGCTGCTTGGCTCTTTCTCGCCCACCACAGGGTAGAAAAAGAAGCAGGTTTGTTGTCACCATGCCCCCGGCCTCCTGGGGATGCGCAGTCTGGTCCTTCATCTCGAAAAGAGCCCTGCTCCCGAAGAGCTTGAGCCCAAGTCCCTCGCATCACCTTGTGTTTTTGACCCGAATCTGGCAGATTTCGTTCAACCAAACCCCGTTTTTATCCCAACGCCTCAGATGGAGGTTTAGCTCAGCCTATTTTAAGCACTCGACTACCAGTGCTGCCACCACCTTCTGCGGAGAGCGAGGTGACTAATAAATATATCCCACCAGCAAAGATGCTTTTCAGGTAGTCCAATTTCTCCTGAGCTTCATTTTTTTTTTTTTTTTTAAAGCTTTTGTTTTTTTCCTGTGGTTCTTCCCGAGCACATTTTTTGGGAGACTTTGTGGAGCCAGAGATGTTGATATCAGGAAAGGGAAAGGAAGGGAGGAAAGGAAAGGGAAGGAAAGGGAAGGAAAGGGAAGGAAAGGGAAGGAAAGGAAAGGAAAGGGAAGGAAAGGGAAGGAAAGGAAACATCCCCAGACCGAGCCAGGAGCCCAGCGTTGGGGTCTGGGCTGCGACAGCGAAATGATGCCTGGTGCTCGGTGCCCCAGCTGCTGCTTTACACCTCGCTGGCTTTAATCTCACGAATCAACAGTGGACTAATTGTTGCGGCTCTCGGGGGCAGCGGGGTTGGCAAGGCAGCCGAGTCACGCCAGGAATTTCGCTTTATGTAATTCGCTCTCTGCTGGGGATTTCGGGCATGTGCCCGGCCGGCCGGGGCACATCCACGAGCATCCTCCCTGCGTGGGTCGCCACCACGATGCCTGGCATGGATAAAACCCCTAGAAAGGGTGGAAAAGAGGTTGTTTGTAGCAGAAGCTGGACGAAATCCTACAAATATATTCAGGTTTTCCAGCTGGAAGTGGGACGTGGGCCTTCTGCTGTCCATGCACACACCGGCCGGTCACTGGCGGGTGCCAGCACCCGTGGTAGCATTTCTCCTGCTTTTAGCTTGATTTGAAGGCTTAAAAGTACAGATTTTAGCCAAGTGTTGTTCATTAATATATTTAGGGGACGTGTGTTGAGTGGCTCGTCTCTGCTGAGGAGAATTTAGGCAGTCGGTGAGAGGTGAGTGAGGATATTTGCGCCTCCACGCAGGATTTTGAGCTAAATCCCGAGAATTACACGCTCAGTGGTGGTCACTGAAAAACGTTTGTGTAAATCAACCACCTCTTCTCACTAATAAAGGCAAGGAATTATTCCTTGGTAGGTTTTTTTCAGCGTTTTACCGAAATTTTGCTTGTTTTGCGTGATTAGGCTTTTACTTATTCGGCGTCCTCCGATAAAGACGGTCCCAAACGGAGACAGCTGGTGCAGAGCTGTGGTTGACGGGCATAAAGAAATAAAAAAAATAATGGAAATAGAAAGGAAATAGAAAGGCCTTCTGCTGCTTCGTGGTGATGATTGAAGCGCTTCACTAAAAACGAGAAAGAACCAGGGAAGAGATGAGGAAATATTGAGATGTGTGAAATATTTATTATTTTTTTTTTTTTCACGGCTGAGCCTTTTAAAAACCGCACTCGAACGGCAGCACGCTCGCTTCTGGATTCGAGTATCACCTGCAGATAAAAGAGAAACGAGATTATTGTTAAAAAAATATATTTTTTTAATTTATTTTTTCCTGGTTCCCTAGAACGAAGCACGGGTTTGGCCGCCCCCAGCTGCACGGTTGGCGGACGGCTGACTTTCCTCGAGACCTCGCGAGCGGCGTGGTGCGGGTCCCGCCGTCCCCGGCCGTGCCTTGTGCTCCCTGTCACGGCTCGGTGGCCTTCCACAGACGTCTTTTTGTCTCCTGTCCCCCGCCGGGCTGTGACAACGGGCGCCGCTGCTTGGCATGCTCCTCGCAGGCATCTGCTGCTGGCCCTTCCCCGTCTGCCGCGGGGGCATCGCTGCCTCTCTGCGCTCGTCCGATCCCGAAGAGTTTTGCCATCGCGTGGACAGAGCTGTGGGATCGACTCGATGCGATTTTATTAAATATATTTTCCGATGTTTTCAATACCACAGCTATTTTATGGCTGTTTTATATCTTCAGACACGTTAACTAACCCTAGCAGACACCCGCGCCGCACGGCATCGCGTCCTAAATAGGTTCGTCTGGGGTTTAGGGCCAGAAATATCGTCCTCCTGGCGTGTTTAATGCCTTGCAAGGACTGGAATTGTGCAGGGGAGTGTTGGAAACACCCGATACTGATAATCCGTGATGAAAATGTGAAAATGAGCTTTTTTTTTTTTTTTGGTGGGGCAAAGGGACTGCACCTGGCTGTGTGCTCAGCAGATGTCGTGTTCCCTCCGTGCTGCCTGCGCCTCCCGACGACACATTCCCGCAACTCTTTCACCACCAAAGCAGGCAGGAATTTAGGGAATTATCCCTTTTTAGTTATTTTTTATTGTCCTGGACGTGGCAAACATTGTTATATTTTACGCATCTCCTTCTTCCTGCCCTTCTCCTCCTGGGCAGGGCATTTTTGCCAAAATGGGTTTCACCCCGAGTTATTTACATCGCTTTCAAGCTTTGAGGAGGGAGAGCATCCCGAACTTGCCGTCTTCTTTGCCAGGAGCTGAATAAATCCGGCAGAAAATCATCACTTTTTATTTTATTTTTTATTTTTTTTTTTTCCCCAGGTTTTGAACGTGCAGAAATGAGAGCAGCGCCGGGAAGGGCGCTTTAATTGGTAACTTTTTTTAAGCACCTACTTCTCGGCATCCTCCGTGGGTGACATCCTGTAACTCTCCCGAAGCCCGAGCTGATGAAAGAAAGTGGAGCAAGAGCACATCAAGGACAAAACCTGGCTCCTTTTTATTTTTT